ACTAGCTCACTTCACAATCATTTCAATGTCAACTAGTTAACTTCAAAATTTTAATCTGAACTAGGAAGAATTAAAATTTCAATCTGTCCTAGTTCGATTTAAAACTGAACTAGATTTTAATCTGTCCTACGACATATACATAGCACGTCATTAAAGATTCCCAACTTTCATCTTTTACTTTCCGTAGCTCTGCAGCAAGCGAAAGAGCATCATCAGTTTGGCTCATATTATGGCCTTCGACTTCGATGCCATGTGCGGCTAATTCAGCCTTTTCAATTTGCGATGCATGAGCGTGTCGACAAAACTAGTTAGCAACAAAACGAGAACCGTTGCTACAATCATTAAAATGGATGAGAAGCGAATGTCTGAAGACTAGAGAAGCGAGCAAGTAGACGTGATTCATTAACATCAGTTATCATGAGACACGAGAAATATCTTCAGATCACACATTAACGTTTGTCCACGCGGAAAGTGATGAAAAAAATTCTTTGCTACCAGCAATCAAATTCCAACCATAATTTCTTCTTTGTGCTCGTCTTTCACATTCAGTGTCACAGCTTTACTTATTCTCTTACGTCCGTTTCTTCATTTACTAAGCAAACATTATAGATAAGGATTTGAATTTTTTATCTGATCAATGACTTTTTTATGCCAGCAATGTACAATACGCAAGTTTGACGTATCAGATTTCTATTTATTACTGCTTAGACACGCTTCGCTTAAACAACTGTAATGATTCGCAAAGCAAATAGTTGATTGAAAAATGAGAGAACGACACACTTCGTTAGTTATCAACAGCTTTGTTTACCAACTTTCAATGACAACAATCCGAAGTCAATATTCAGGTAAATTAAAGCTGCATTTAGCAAAGATTACAATTACGCCATTATGATGGTAACACTTTGGATTTACTTGGAAATGACAGTAGTTAAATTGATTTGAATTTATTTTTAAAACCGTTTTAATAAAAGATTTAAAAAAAGTGTAATCATGTAAAAGTTTAACTTGATTGTAATTTCTCCTATTTCTATTTTGGTAATGGTAATCATCGGTATGTAAAATAAGATTATGAATGAGGTTCGATTTACATGATGAAGCAATGCAATTGTTTTTCTCCGTTCGATAATTTTATCGAATACATGTTCTTTCTCTTCTTGCCTAATATTTATTTTCTCTTTTTCTCTTTTTCTCTTTTCAGCTTCCAGATGCTTCTGTAGACGAGAGATTACATGTTTTTTTTGTGCGATTGTTTTCTACTCTGTATATTCTACTTGTATCGCGATGACGAAAAAACAACCGCAATATCTTCTGTTAAAATAGTTTTGATCACTTTGTGTATCACAGCCGGTTCAGCATCAGCAGTTTATGGTGTGTATCAAGCCAAATGCGTAGAGATCGTTGTTGATTGCTTTACAGCAATTAGTATTGTTTTGGGTACTGTTAATGCTGGGATTGATACACCAGCAGACATAGTGATGTATGAGGTTGCATTTCGCAAGTGTTCAACAGCTGTAGCAGTGATACCAACATTCTAATAATAAACTATAATATCAACAAATGTTTATGAACAAAATTTCACGGTTGATCTATTAGTAGTAAACTCAAAACGTTTTTTTGTTTATTACATTTAGATTTGCTAAGAGCCCAATAATAAACACATATGATTGGATGAAGATACAGCACAAAATGCTCTATACTTACACCAATTCATTCGTACATGTGACTTTCCACGTGTATACAAACGTACAAGCATACCAACTTATTTTATATGATCTTTCTTTTCGTCAAAGAATTTACGTCGTTTTCTTTTAGGAATCATGATACGACATTTAATTTTGTTTTTACGCATTTAATTTTCAGTGCGTAAAAATTCAGAGAAAAGGAAAAAAATTTTATCACAACCACGTCATTTATTTTTCATTCTTTATCATTAACGTTCACTATTATTACGTATTCAAGCACCATACATACTCGCTATTTACTTTATAGCATTCATTTGTAGTTACACGGAAGAAAAAGCAGGTAAAGATTACGGTTTGGATATACTGGTTACCTGTAACGAAGAGACATTTATTGATTCACGTAACTCAAAAATAGTCTCTATTTAATATTCTTTTTAATTTTCAGATATATTATTGAGTAAAACAATGAAACTTTCAGCGATATTTTTATATATTATTATTCTCACGGCATCATGCAGTGAAGCTGGTCCAGCAGCTTATGGTGTATGCCAAGCTGGATGTGCGGCGCTTGTTGTTGCATGTTATGCGGCAGCTGGTGCTGTGTTTGGTACCGTCACTGCTGGAGCTGGTATAACACCAGCGATATTGGCTTGCAATATTGCTTTCGGGAAATGTTCAGCAGCTTGTGCTGTTGCAGTATTGATGCCAACGCCTTAGTAATAAACTGTGACATTATCACATTTCTATGGACGTAATTTCACTTTTCTTTTCTACTATTATTTCATAGAAACCTATCTATTAGCAGTACCTGCAAAACATTTTCACTGATTACTTTTTATCAAATAAATGATCATATTGATGTGGTATTGTTCGTGTGTTTATGCTGATCGGAAAATTTACTTCAAACTTTTGTACTTTTTTATAGAATAAAATGTATAACATTTACATATATAACTTTTCAAACTAAAAGAAATTTATGCACTGATGTTTGAAATCTAGACTTACAGTTGCGAAAATTTTGGATTAATTATACGAATATGATTCTCATTCATACATTTTGGAAAATGAGAGCCTTACACTTGAATATGTAAGTGGGAAGCTTTTTCGATCGAAAACTAACATCTATTCGGTACATAACCAAAGGTATTTGATTCAATGTAAGATATTTAAATATATTAATAATTAATAATACGAGCTCATTGTTCATTTTTTTAAATTTATTTCAAATAACTTGTGAATATTTCGGACTGATGCTCAGTCTATTATCAATACAAATGACTAGTAAAAAATACAAAAAAATTATTTTTAACTTTTACTACATGTATAGTGTTTTTTCTTTTCTTTAGCATTGCAGTGCAAGAAGAAGAAATGTTTCGTGGTGCATTGCACTGTTGAAGAAAAGAAGAACGAAAATAAAAGAAAAAGCCTATACATGAAATAAAAGTTTAAAGAATTTTTTTTGGTATCTTTTATTAGTTATTTGTATTGACAATGGACTCAAGATCAGTCCGAAATATTCGCAATTTTTTTGAAATAAATTTAAAAAAATGAACAATGAACTCGTATTATTAGCTAGTACATAACTATAACAAAAGACTTTATATCGAACAGCTTAGAATCAACTCCTTTCTATAAATATGTACTTGCATGGATTCTGAGACTCTAAAATATGATTTTCAAAATTAATTATAGTTTAGACGTTAGATTGCAAGTATGAAACTATGGAACTCTATGTGTAATATATAAAGTAATTTTCTGAAATCTCAAAGAATAGCTCGACGTTGAGCGTAAATTTCTTGTATGTATTTCGATTTTCTTCAGCAATTTTGTAATGATGTTTGTACAGTTTGTTTTCTATTTTGTGGAAAACGCGAGATATTTTGTCTTCGAAGATTGGTAATAATAGAAACTGTTTGGAAATAGCTGCCTAGTGACTCCTTATTTTAATAATTCACTCAAAAATTTCTCATTAGTATTTGAGGAAGTTTCATAATTTCTGGCTAATTTGTTTTCATTTTATGGTACGCTTGAATAAATACTAAGAAACCGTTTTCACAAATGTTTTCTTGTTATATGTCTGAGCTAGTTACAAAAAGTTAATCGAATAAGAACGAAATATCTGTGGAGCAGATCAATAAGATAATAGCCGAACTTGATTAAAATTGTTGAAGATAAATATGGGAAGTGTTACGTTTAAGCAGCAAAATTTTGAAGATAGACCAAAGATGTACTAGTCCTATTTTGATGGGAAAGATTGATTTGAACAATATTTGTAAGAAAAAAATCAATAAAGTCATTACGTTCATTTCAGTTTATGATGATCAACCAGAAATAAGAACTATGGACTTTCTCGAGAATGAGTCAAGTACGAATATCTCATGTTCGAATACGAATTGAAGTAAGAATAATGGAGGCTCGTGTGCAAGTACGAATATCGATTGCTTAAAAATGGTGTAGGATTACTAGTGTCTCGATTATCATTCTGGTTTTCCACTTGTCGTTCTAACAAAGCGAGTATTTTATTGATTTTCGCATCTCGTTGTGCTTCGTTTTCTTGAATTTCCTTAATTTTAGCTAAACATGTTTTCATGTCTTGTTGGTGAGCTCGCATTTCATAGGTAAGTAAACGTTCACGTTCGAGAAGTATAACATTGTCATATAAATAATTGGGCGGTGCCTCTTGACGACCTTTAAGTGGGCGAAAGAAATTGTTATCGCATTGATCGATGAAATCGAACGTGAGCAAAAAATGAGCATGACCATGACACTCAGTTGCGTATTTTTCCATCGAAGAGGCCGATTCCCATTGACCGAAATTAATTGCGATAGCGTCGACCGGCCATTTTACGTCATTTGAACGTTTCTTACGGCAGAGTTCGTTGTGAAGAAGTCGACATGTATAAATGACCGTAGTCCAAAATAGAGGTAGACAAACTAGTTCACGATTAACGATGTGCCATGGTGGAGCAGAATGCAAGAGTAGGTCGCGCACATACTCTTTTTTGTTTGTAAAAATGAAACTTGACGTTTCAGGGCGAAAGTTTAGTCCATAATTCGGTCCTGGTGGAAGATCTCGATCTATAACTACAATAAATATATATGAACAAATCGTATGCCTATTACATTGTGTTGCTGTATAATTTTACAATATCTTCCGTTCCTTTCAATAAATTTGAGGATGCGGTGGGCGACTGAAGAGAAGACCATCATCTACATCTGCACTCACATAGGTGACATTTCAGAATTATTTGCCCGGTGTTAGAAAGTAAACGTCGTCAAATGGGTAGCTGTTCATATCTGCATACTTTATCATAAATAAACCACTTGAAAAAATTAAAATCCAGCTTTTCATTAACTTTCACAAAATCCTAACTGAACGCAATCAAATCAAAGCTAACGACTGATATCTTGTTCTCTATTTATAAAATGGTTTGAATCCGGTTGGCATGAATATTCTATGTACTGTAGAAAAAATATTAGATTTGATTGTATGTGTTATTTTACTTCTTTCTTTTTTGTCAAAATCATATTTTTACTATTTGATTCTCAATAAGCATGACATAAACATCAATCTAAAGCAGAAGTACGAGAACAAACCGATATACAACAAGTGATGAAGACAGAAACACGTTTTGTTGTTTCGTTCTGCACACTTCAAATTAAAACAACTTCTCTACTTCGTTTGTAGTTTTTCTGTTCACTTATAAGAAACGTACAGATATACTATATTGTCTTTTATTTCTTGTAGAAAAAACGTATTAGAATATGAATTGTCACAAAGATTAAGACAAAAAGTGATTTGCAGTAGATGTCTTATTGGTAACCATCAGTGAAAGTCCTATCGAGTCTCGTCAGTTTGGTTCTTTGGTTCTCAGTTTTCTTTTCACTGCACGTTAAGCTCTCATGGTTAATTTCATTGGATTTCTACCATGTGATACTGTAGTGTATCTTTTCAATGTCTAAATTTCAGTGCTTGTAGTGTTCAAGTAGATAACTATATTTATAGAATCAGAAATGAAAAGATGTATCAGCATTTAGAATGCGAGCGGTCAACTATTAACGACTTTTGACTCTCACAATCTTTTATCTGATTTTGAAAATATTTTGAAATCCTCTTATCATTTTTTGCTCTCATCGAGCGAACGAACATACGATTCCATATGACATTCTAACTCCATCATAAATATAATATATAAGACAAACTAAAAATTTGATGAAAATTGTGTCAAGTAAAATGTATATTTTCTTTGGAATCGTCTAGGATCGTATCACATCCAGAAAAATAAAGGTAAGTTTACTCTACAATTGAAAATATTTGGTTTCGGGAGGCATTCACTACAATATCTAAATACTACAAAAAAATATTTTCGTATTTGAGGAAAAAATGACAGTATGTTGTCCTCGTTCGACACCTGTTTTATCCTAAAACTACTTAAATAATGCGTGACAGGATGCCCAAGATACAAAGATGTCTCTTAACAGCAATGGATAAGTGTTTGAAAATCATATGTGAACGAATACAATATGGGAGAAGATGAGAGGAATTGTTACACAATGGTGCTGTTTCTTTGAGAATCGAACTGGTCTTAGCTGCAAATACCAGACAGTTTATCTATGCAAAGCACAAATTGAAAATAGCTGATCAATAACGAGATCATTGACAACCCAATATGAGTTGCTTCGAAATAATTTTCGAAATCAACCTTGTAATGTTGTTCTACGCATTTCGTAGATAACAAGATACTGCTGATCGAGTTTATTCTTCAGTGACAGATCAATCAGTCGTGTGAAATTTGAATCTCCGAAAATCGAATACCAACTTGAAGACAACTACTGGTTTACCATGTAGTGATGCTCTGATCGATGTAGGTTTCATCTTTTCACTCATGCCGTCGCATGGAACTTTGGTATCTATAGTAATCGAAAAGATCTAACCAGCATGTAGTCCGGCATTTTGACTGCGATAAATCAGATTGAGGCGAGTATATTTGCTCTTAAAATGACTATCATTACCGCCACTGGAAGGCTATGCCAATTTTAACAATGTACTCAGACAGCAGTGAGAGTTAATCTCAATTGATGTTCTTAAGGGGACCCCCCCCCCTTTCCGGTGTTTCTAAGAAATGGCCGAACGAAAATTTCTGAAACTTGCAGGGTAGATAGACCTCGAGTAGTAAAGCAAAAGTTGTCATGGACACAAATTTGCCAGACGTCATCTTCATGGACTTCCAGAGACCCCAAGGTCAAAAACTTGCAAAGAGTTTTCCCCCCCGCAAATCCACAGATTTCATCCGTTTGAGCTGAAATTTTTACTGTGTGTAGACGGACCCAATCGGGGTGGCCGTTTTTTTTTTTTTTCAAAAATTCCAAATACTTCAGGCTGGAGAACCAAAATACTGAGCACTTTGCAAAATCTCCCGAGTTTTTGGATCCTAAAAATTTTGCGAAGCCTGCCAAACTTGATTAGTAGAAGATATCCAAAAAGAAAAAAAAACGGCCAACCCAAATCACTTGAAGCCTCACCAAAAAAATTTTCAGGCGAATCGGACTTGAAATGGCGGAAAAAAGGGGGGTAAAAGTGGTTTTTGGTACCCACAAAACTGGTTTCGAGAAAAATGCAAAATGAAAAAAACTTTTAAAAAAATTTTTTTTTTGCTTTTAGTATAGATATACTACTTACATCATAATATAAGTTTATATTAAAAAAAAAAAAAAAT